TTAAACGATACCTGGGTTACAGTGTCAGTACTAAAACTAACACTTATTACAGTGTTTAAATACCGTTCTGTGAATCTAACATCGTGCGGTAAAGTAAATATCTGGCGGCAAAACTGAACGATGACCCACAACTAAACACATCGTAATATCTGAACATCGCTTGTGAAATTGGATGTTTGACCATGCGTAATTGGACACCTTGACTAATTTTAATCACGGCTCAGGAAATTGAACGGTCCAACTAATTATTGAACAGTCGTGATAATTAAGCGGGACGCTTATAATTAAACACGTGTCGACAAACTAAATACTAGTTAATTAGACGCCTGGTAATCAAAATTAAAACACTGAGATTTAAATTGGATACAAGTATTGAACATTATTAGCCGAAATTCAACTATAGTTATGAATATTTAGACACAAGACAGAATTTAACGCTAGTTACGCGAGATTAAACGATACCAATTTTCTGGTGTGTTCTTTAATTAGATCATTTCCTTTTCAATATAGTTTGATTAGCTGCATGTTGTATCTTGGATATCTTGGATATTTTTCTTGCCATTCTTGGCCACCATCTTGGATTTCTGATTTCCCCAAGGGTGACATGAACACACCTGCCCTAGAAAAATTGGCCGGGACTATTCATGCGGCAAAGATATGTCGAGGGGTGGAGATTCTGTCTTCCAAGTGGAGTTGATTGAGTTTCGACATCTTGGTATTTTATGTGGAATGCTATTATTTTATTGTCAAATCAATGAAATGCTAATAGCAAAATATGTGGTTTCCATATGAGTTGAAGGTCATACCAAGGAATTCAGTATCTGATTTAATTTCTAGCCTTGTTCTGTTCAGATTTAACTCAATTTTCCAATTGCTATCAGTCGGATGGAACAGCATTGCTACTGTCTTTCCTTATGATGTTTTGAATTGAAAACCCATTCATTTGCCCAATTTGAATTTTGTTGTGAGTATATTGGAACGAATGTTGTATTTTTCCATTATCTTTTGATGACTTCCAAAAGGAGCAATCATCTGTGAAGAGTGTCGATTTGGCGTTAAGCCGACCATAGCTTTGAATTTGGCTGATGATGGAGTCTTGCGCGCGGTGTTCGGTTTTCTATTTCTAATTTTTCAATTGTGCAGTTTCCTACTCGTATCCTTATATGCCTGTTGTTTAGAGGGGTTGGGGGGTCTAGTGGTTTAATGTGTGTGCATGAAATCTCAATGTGTATCATTGAGTCAAGTGCCGTGGTTTCAATTCCCTGCTTGATTGTGACAAGGAGTAGGATTGTCTGTCCAACCTCGTGGGTTTTCTGCGGGTCATCCAGTTTCCACCCACTGCTAAAAACTCCTATGCACATGTGAATTATTGAAGTTAAATTGAACCAAATGTTTGTCTGGAAATGACCTAGTTTGTGTTGAGTGAATGTTAAACCCCGTTTCTCTTTTTCTGCCTATTCAGCCTTTGATTTTTGCTTTGCACATGGAGTTTTTGTAAGAGACCTTCCACCCACACTAAGTCAAAAGCTTTGGTTAAGTCAATGAAAATTACACATAGATACTATTTGGATGTAAATGCCTTTGATATATCATGTTGCAATCTGATAAGGTGGCCTGCAGTTCAGTTTGCAAGGATACTAAAAAAAAAAATAATCACGATATCATGGATTATCACCTGGAGTAAATTATCGCAATAATTAGAATTATCGTGCTTCAAAAATTCATTATCGTGATAATTACTGATGTTAAATTGACATAACTTGTGGTGTATAAATAGATTTATTTAGTGTATCCGTTAAGTATTTAAGCGATTTGTAAGAATATTCCCGTAGGTATCGTCACCTCAAATCATTCTATTAAGTTTGGCTGCTGCCAAAGGGTTGACGTGTTTCCGCCAAGCATTTTAGCTTACTTTGAAGACACTTTACATGTTATCACATTCTTGTCGGATGTTCTTTTTAAACCAAAATGTTCCCTTACCACAGAAGAAGTGTTCGTTTTAGGTGTCGGCTGCAGTGTATTTTCGCGGTCTGCCGTACATCATTGGAAATATTCCGAATCACAATGACATGGCAGTTTCAAGCTCGAAAGCCATATTATTTAGAGGCTAAAGTTAATATCCCATTGACTTTAAATTTATACACATTAGTTAAGGCCATGAGATGAAGAAGCCTAGTGATTATCAACGATGTCCGATAATTAATTTCAGAGTTATGATCCTTGATCACTTAAATAGCTTGTGGAGGCTTTAGAGTCTCAAGTTAATATCCGATTGACTTTAATGTTATACACAGTGTTTAAGTTCATGAGATGAAGAAGCCTATTTTCAACGATTTCCGATTTTTACTGCCAGAGTTATTGCCCTTGATCACTTTGAAATATCTTGTGGATGCTGTAGGGCAGTGATTCTCAACCAGTGTGCCGTGAGATCTTCCTAAGTGTGCCGCAAAATTTTGAAAGGTACACCAAGAAAATGTGAAAAAACCAGTGATCCCAGTTATGGCCCCTGATTGTTAAAAAAATCACGCTTTTAGATTGTGGTCCATCTAGAAGTCACAATTATTATCCGATTTAAAAAGCCGTTCAACTATATCACCGTTACACTGTAATGTTCGTTGAGTTCGATTTTGTGAAATACATGTTTATAATCCAAAGATCTTGGTCCCTTTCAATATTCATGCATATCGGATTGTAACTTCCCGAATTTTGGCTCTTGATTGTACGAAAAATTGCGTTTTTAGCTTGTGATCCCTCTAGAGGTAACAATTTTTATCCAATTTAAAAAAAACGTTTGAATATATCACTGTTAAACCCTATTGAAGGTTGAGTGTAAATATATGGTATATCAAGATTATGGACCCTCTAGAGGCCATAATTTTGATCCGCTTTTGATAAAGCTTGAAATAGTGTAAACATACATGTATGGTATATCAAGTTTGTTGGACGCTAGTCACAATTTTGATATTTAAAAAAATATATCACCGTCACACCCTAATGAGGATTGAGTACAAGTATGTAATAACGAAGGTTGTGGACCCTATAGAGGTCACAATTTTTTTCCGATTTGATGAAACTTAAAACATATCTTTATATCCCAAAGATCTCAGTCCCTTTTGATATTCGCCAATTCAGACCATAACTTCTTGAATTATGGACCCTGATTGTACGAAAAATTGTGATTTTTTTTTTAGCTTGTTCTCTATCCATCTCTTGCAAAATGTGGGCATATTTTGCCTGGCAGCCGCTGTTTTTTCATGGTTTTGATGAAACTTAAAACATATCTTTATATCCCAAGATCTCCCTCCCTTTTGATATTCGCATATTTCAGACCATAACTTCTTGGATTATGGACCCTGATTGTACAAAAAAATCATGTTTTTTTTTTGGGGGGGGGGGGGTCTTTTTAAACCATAGCCAAAAAAAAGGGGTAGGGGAAACATAAAATCATGTAACGCCACAGGGAAACGGCCTATAGTATAATATTGTATTACCGCTTAATGAAGCTTATGGTGTCAGCTACATGACAATAGCAAGTGGAATATGATTCGTCAAAATTCAAGGTCACCAGGGGTCAGCACATGACATAATAGGACCCTTCTTGATTAAAACCTGGGCACTTCCAAGAACTTTTTATTATTTATTGGTTAAACATACATTATGCAAGAGCTAAATCTGATTATTGCAAGTCTTTATTTAGGCTTCAGATGTCATAAAAATTATAAATTAAATCTTTATTTACACAACAAGCACAAAATCAATTCTGTAGACCCACGGATGGCTTGGATTTAAACAGGATTTTGTTGACTGATTTAATTTTAAATGGCGTCATGAGTGGAGATTAACCATTACGTTGACGTCATACTCCCGGATCGAGGCTAAATGATAGAGTGTACGAAGCGAGGCTGCTGTTGAGCGATGCCTTAACAAATGACATCTAAACTATTTAAAGTGCAATAAACTAAACACAGATAATGACAAATTATACAATTCCTGAAGACCGTGTGATGACTAATACAGACGGACAGGTTTTCTGTCTTAATAATATCAATAAAAATATTTTTATTTCCCCAGTAGGCACAACGCCACTGGTGTATACCTATAGATTTATCATAATTGTATTATAATATTATGTCCTATATTCAATTGATTTAATGCATGCCCAAAATACAAGTAAGAATGAAAATTTACCCTCTCACTCATTTTATCCAATTGTTATAAAAATCCAAAAAAGGTAAAACACAAATTCGGATATGATGACAGCAGACAAAAGACAGCAGAGATTATGTAGGTGGAGTTAACGCCTGTCAATCAAACGATCGGCCATACTAAGAATCGGTGAAGATGGAATTCAATCCCATTTCTAGTCAAAAATTACACTGGTGATGACTATGTTCAGAATAAAGTAATTTGACTGAAATTTTCAATATATTCTTCTTTCATCATCTATTTTTGAACTGTTATAGCATGAATGGCTAACTCCTTATAAAAATCTCCCATAATGTATCTTTAATTCTGAGTGAGTACAATATAGGTAAGCTTTTAAAACTAGCAAGGAGAAAAATGAATGTATATGATCGCTTTCTTGCTGTGAGGTCATGAGAGGACAAAACATATACCCTGAGTAATGCCCCTTTTTCTAAAACCTTGTGGACATGATAGAGGTTAAAATCTTTGATGGATTTGTTTCATTTCTGGTGTAAAGTATTATTAGGTTAAAGAGAGGAAAAATCCTATAAATATTCATTGTTCTGCGACTTTTTGTTCCATGGTTACCCCTTTTTCCCCCCACAAACCCCTGTATATCAGATTTCTTGAAGTCATTTCATCAACATCCAAGTTTTTCTTTCGGATAAGCTGTTGTGTGGGCATATTTCCACGCTTTGCATAACTATCCTCTATAATTCCTGGAAATAAACTGTTGCTGGTGTTGATCGCTATGACACAATTTTTATCTGTAAATATTTTCCTATTTGTCAGGCAACCTATCTTTTATTTTACAGATCATTTTGTTCAGATCATAGACCACATCAAAGTGATGTTAAAAAGGGGAAAAGTAAAACCGTTGTATGTCCTATGTGTATGTGTAATGTAACAGCATCTTGTTCTATAACTACTATGAAATCTACTTGTTGTAAAAATGCTTGGTTTCATCGAAACTGTATCCAGGTAATATACATCACTTTCTAATCGTTTAAATATTTGATGATATGAGATCTGCCTTATTTGTAGAGTATACAGGATTGTAATCAATTTTAGAATTCATATTATCAGTATTTTACAGGGTTTATGTAAATAGAATTATATTAAGTAATATATTAAATACATATTTATTTCAGAGATATTCACTGTCAGCAGGTCTACATTTCTTTAAATGTCCAATGTGTAATGACAAGAATAAATTTCAATCAGAAATGTTAGAATTTGGTATTTATATACCTGATCAGTAAGTAAATTCAATTTGGGGTTTTGTAAATTTAATCTTGGGTTTTGTGTTACATATTAGAATGCAATTCAAACTTCACACTTTAAAATGCAGTTCAAACATCACTGACACTCAATGTTGTTGTATTATCCCTTCAACCAGTCATTGTGTCCATCCATCCATCAACAATTGGATAGTGATCACCAAATAGCCTCTACTACGTTCACAAGGCTTTCGGCAAAGGCGGGTACAGGGTAACAGTGGAACGAAACATCTCAAAACACTTAATATTGATAAGGGCCCTTCATTTCATAACCCCAATGCTTTCATAACCTCACCAAATTTTAATAGAATCTGTTTAAAATGTACCCACTATTGTATTCACAATGCTTCACCACAAAAATGAAAATAATCCATTAAAAACTGTAGCCTCTATTGTGTTCCCAAATACCTTGTTGACCTGATGAAGTTTTTATTTGGGGTTAGGTTTCTATATGCCAACATTGAAATGTGGTCGTATATTGTCGTCGGGACGCTCTAGAGGCTGAAGTTAATATCCGATTGACTTTGAATTTATACACAATGTTTAAGAATGCGTTTGCTGGAGAACCATGCAGGGACTGGTACATGGTGGGTGACCGATTTTCACCATTTTTTTATATGCCCACATTTTTCTGTGCACGAATATTGTCGTTGCCCCTGTCCGTCCACAATTGTTTGTGAACATTCACAATTTTATCTGATTTCAATGGAACTTGAAATATAGGTTTATCACCCTAAGATCTCAGTTCCTTGTGATATTGGCATGTATCGGACTGTAACTTCATGGATTATGGCCCCTGATTGTACGAAAAATCACGTTTTTAGCTTGTGAACACTGTAAAGGTCACAATTTTTATCCGATTTGGTTTAAACTTGAAATGTATGTTTATACACCATTGATCTTGGTTCCTTTCGATATTCGCGCATATCGGACCATAACTTCCTGAATTATGGCCCCTGATTGTACGAAAAATCGAGTTTTTAGCTTGTGGACCCTATAGAAGTCATAATTTTTATCCGATTTAAAAAAACGTATTATTATATCACCGTTACACCCTAAGGACGACTGAGTTCGAATTTTGTGAAAATGGGCCCAAAATTGACAGACAAAATGGCCGCCTTTCTTTCTCAAATAGCGTAAAAATATGGTATATCAAGGTTGTGTACCCTATAGAGGTCACAATTTTAATCCTATTTTGATGAAACTTGAAATGTAAGTTTATAACCCAAAGATCTCGGTTCCTTTCGATATTCGCGCATATCGTACCGTAACTTCCTGAATTATGGCCCCTGATTGTACGAAAAATCACATTTTTAGCTTGTGGACCTATTATTATATCACTGTTACACCCTAAGGACGGCTGAGTTCGAATTTCGTGAAAATCGGTCCAAAACTGACAGACAAAATGGCCGCTCTTCGTTCTCAAATTGCGTAAAAATATGGTATATCAAGGTTGTGTACCCTATAGAGGTCACAATTTTAATCCTAGTTTGATGAAACTTGAAATGTAAGTTTATAACCCAAAGATCTCGGTTCCTTTCGATATCCGCGCATATTGGACCATAACTTCCTGAATTATGGCCCCTGATTGTACGAAAAATCGCGTTTTTAGCTTGTGGACCCTATAGAGGTCATAATTTTATCCGATTTAAAAAACTGTATTATTATATCACCGTTACACCCTAAGGACGGCTGAGTTTGAATTTCGTGAAAATCATCCCAAAATTGACAGACAAAATGGCCGCCGTTCGTTCTCAAATAGCGTAAAAATATGGTATATCAAGGTTGTGGACCCTATAGAGGTCACAATTTTTATCTGATTTTGATGAAACTTGAAATGTAAGTTTATAACCAAAAGATCTTGGTTCCTTTCGATATTCGCGCATATCGGACCATAACTTCCTGAATTATGGCCCTTGATTGTACGGAAAATCGCGTTTTTAGCTTGTGGACCCTATAGAGGTCATAATTTCTATCCAATTTAAAAAACTGTATTATTATATCACTGTTACACCCTAAGGACGACTGAATTCGAATTTTGGGAAAATCAACCCGAAATTGACAGACAAAATGGCCGCCGTTCGTTCTCAAATAGCGTAAAAATATGATATATCAAGGTTGTGGACCCTATAGACGTCACAATTTTTATCCGATTTTGTTGAAACTTGAAATGTAAGTTTATAACACAATGATCTCAATTCCTTTCGATATTCGCCCATATTGAATTGCAATTTCCTGAATTATGGCCCTTGATAGTAGTAAAAATCACTTTCTTGTTAGCTTGTTCTCTATCCATCTCTCGAAAATGTGGGCGTATCCTGCCTGGCAGCCGCTGGTTATCCGATTTTGTTGAAACTTGAATTATGGCCCTTGATTGTAGGAAAAATCACTTTCTTTTTAGCTTGTTCTCTATCCATCTCCGAAAATGTGGGCGTATCCTGCCTGGCAGCCGCTGGTTTTCCGATTTTAAAAACCGTTTAAATACAACACCATTCCCCATAATGAAGGTTGAATTCGTATTTCGGGAAAATCAAAATGAAACTGGCCCGACAAAATGGCCGCTCTTTGTGCGCAAATTGTTTAGAAGTGTGTAATACGAAGGTTGTGGAACCTCTAGAGGTCACAATTTTTATCCGATTTTGATGAAACTTAAAACATATCTTTATATCTGAAAGATCTCTGTCCCTTTTGATATTTGCACATTTCAGGCTATAACTTTCTGGATTATTGCCCCTGTTTGCGTACAAGTGGCAGCCATTTTGTCCGGCAGTTTTGGCCCGATTTTCACAAAATTCGAACTCAATAAACATTACGGTGTAACAGTGATATATTCAAATGTTTTTTTTTTAAATTGGATAATAATTGTGACCTCTAGAGGGACCACAAGCTAAAAACATGATTCAGGAAGTTACTATCCGATATGCCCGAATATCGAAAGGAACCAAGATCCTTGGGTTATAAACATGCATTTCAAGTTTCATCAAAATCAGATCAAAATTTTGACCTCTAGAGGGTCCACAACGTTGATATACCAGATGTTTACACTAATTGTGTATGAGGGGTGGCCATTTTGTCCGGCAATATTGGTCCGATTTTCACGAAATTCGACTCAACCAAAATTACGGTGTAACAGTGATGTATTTGATCGGTTTTTTAAATTGGATAATAATTGTGACATCTAGAGGGACCACAAGCTAAAAACTTGATTTTTCGTAAATCAGGGTCCATAATTCAGGAAGTTACAGTCCATATGCGCAAATATCGAAAGGAACCAAGATCTTTGGGTTATAAACTTACATTTCAATTTTCATCAAAATTAGAAGAAAATTGTGACCTCTAAAGGGTCTACAACCTTGATATACCATATTTTTATGCTATTTGAAAACGAGGGGCGGCCATTTTGTCTGTCAATTTTGGGCCAATTTTCACGAAATTCAAACTCAACTATCCTTAGCGTGTAACGGTGATATACTAAAACGTTTTTTTAAATCGGATAAAAATTATAACCTCTATAGGGTCCACAAGATAAAAATGCGATTATTAGTACAATCAGGGGCCATAATTCAGGAAGTTACTGTCCGATATGTGCGAATATCGAAAGGAACTGAGATCTTTGGGTTATAAACTTACATTTCAAGTTTCAACAAAATCGGATTAAAATTGTGACCTCTATAGAGTCCACAAGCTAAAACACGATTTTGCATACAATCAGGGGCCATAATCCATGATGTTACGGTCCGAAACATTCAATATCGAAAGGAACCGAGATCTAAGGGAGATAAACCTATATTTCAAGTTTCGTTGAAATCGGATAAAAATTGTGACCTGTAGAGTGTCCACAAATAGTGTGAAAATATGGTATATCAAGGTTGTGTATCCCCTAGAGGCCACAGTTTTTATCAAATTTGGATGAAACTTTAAATATATGTTTTAATCATAAAGATCTTGGTGTCTTTTGATAATCACACATATCCGAACGTAACCTCCTTTATTATGGCCCCTGATTGGTCAAAAAATCGCATTTTTAGCTTGTGGATTCTCTAGTCACAATTTTTTTTCCGATTTTAAAAACTGTTTAAATATGTCATCTTTCCACCATAATGAAGATTGAATTCGTATTTCGGGAAAATCGAAACAAAACAGCTCGACAAACTGGCTGCTCTTTGTACGCAAATTGTGTACAAGTATGATGAAACTTAAAACATATCTTTATATTCCAAAAATCTTAGTCGTTGTCGATATTTGTGCATTTCATACCATAACTTTCTGGATTATGGCACCTGATTGTACAAAAAGTCGTTTTTGTTTTTAACTTTTCCTCTATCCATTTCTTGCAAAATGTGGGTGTGTCCTGCCTGGTTCAATTATGGGGTACAACTAAACTACGGCGAGTAGATTAGTGAAACTTTATAGGGTAGTAGATATGGTTAGTAAGTATACATTCTGAAAGTTTGATGGACTTTCATCGAGAGGTTTTTTGTATAGAAACTTAGTGCTGCAAGATACGAAAATAGCTCAATTTAGGTATGTCATTTTGTTCTATCTATATCTCACCCACTGCGGATATAAGAATTTTGTTTGGAATGCTGATTTAAAGCTACGTTCTCAAAAAAAATTTTATCGGGTGGTTATTTCCAATAAAAGTATGGCAATTTTGTACATATGGAAAATAGAAATATCCAATCTTAGTAGAAAAATACTGGATTCCATGAAAAACACTCATGGAGCGCATACAGGACATAAATTCATAAATAAAACAAATCTCGGTCAAATTTACGACAACCACTAATTACCTAATTACTAATTATAGCTGTGAAGAAAGCCGGCAAACACGAAATAAAATTTTGTAAACGTTTTCATAAACAATAAAATGTCAGGGGACGAAATTGTTGCGGTAGATAATGAGGTAAGATAGCAATATTTTTTCTTTCTTTGGTTGATATTAGAAGCCAATAAACGCGATAAATCATTCAAAGTT